CCATCCAGATACCTCTTTCCTAGATTTCCTTGGCACTAATCTTCCGATCTTGTTCCTTCCAAGTCTCTTACTAGAAAAATCATTAGCAGCTGCCCAAGAATCACTGTAGATCAGTACCTCTGGCCATCCCTCAGTCTAGAGAACATGAATAACCAAAAGGTATCTCCTGATGATGTGGAGGGATTGTCCTTCGTCTTCATCCTTCAGTGGGCTATAGTGCTAGTTTTGTGTGGTACCAAAATAATGTGCAAATCCATATGAAAAATAGGCTTGATTTTCTTGTTCCTTAGTTAACTGATTATAAGGAACTCCCCAGAAGGTTATAGGCACGGTTAAGGGAGAGTATACAAAAAAGAAGAGTTTGTGTCAAAGGAATCTGAGGTGCTTACTCATTCAGCTTCCCTGGATCTTCTGGGGATGCCTGAGCCCAGTCTCTTATATATCATTTCCACTTGATGATAGATTGCTGCTGGGCATGATCAACAGTGCAGGTACGTAGTTGGACAACACTTGGTTCATGACGGAAGTTCAGGCTGCATGGTCACTAAGTTAGTTTGTTCCTAAGTTAGATATTCAGACTTTGCCATGGTCATTTAGCAAGTCAGAAGCTGTTTCTTAAAAGGAGAGCCGATATTTAAAGAAAAGGGCATATATTCCCCCCAACCCCCAATACTAGTGGAGTATGCTGCCATCTTCCTGTTGGTGTTTCCCATGTCTCCATCCTATTTGCCATGGAAACTCCAAGCATCATTTTTGGATCTGCTGGATCATGAGACCAAAGTGATGAAGCAGATAGCACTGAGATGTTCCTTCCTCTGCAATGTTTTGGAATAGTTTAAGAAGGATCAGTGTTAACTCTTCCTGAAATGTTGGGTAGACTGACCCAATAGCTTTTTTTTTTGCGGTACGCAGGCCTCTCACTGTTGTGGCCTCTCCGGTTGCGGAGCACTGGCTGCGGACGCACAGGCCCAGCGGCCATGGCTCACGGGCCTAGCCGCTCCGCAGCATGTGGGATCCTCCCAGACAGGGGCACGAACCCGTGTCTCCTGCATCGGCAGGTGGACTCTCAACCACTGCTCCACTAGGGAAGCCCTCAACGGCTTTTGACTCCAGTTATTTGACCCTATTGGAGATGCTGAGGAAAACCCAATATTAATTAACTTATTCCTTTTTTACTTAATTCAGCCAGAGTCAGTTTCTGTTACTCACCAATAAGAACCCTGGCTTATATACAATCTCATTCCAGCATTAGGCAAATTAGGAAAAAAAAAAAAGAAAAGAAAAGAAAGCTTATATATAAAATGCCAGAAGTGATTGTAAGAAACCTAACAGTGCTCCTCAGAGGTATTCTGTAAATACCAGGCATCAATATTCTTTCTTAATTGAGTTTTTACATGAATTAAGCTGCATCTGTTCTTACTCTAGGCTAGAACTGGAGTGTAATAAAGGCAGAGAATAGACTAGCTTTGTAATTTCTTCTGTATCAGCTCTAACACTTCACCTTCCACAGCCGGCTCTATTAGCAGGATGATGTTGCTACCACAAGATGGCAGTACCCTCTCTCCTCAGACTTGCTTGGTTTGAAATCAACATGTTGGTATTGAAAGCGCAGGATAGAGCTCCCTCTGATTGGCTGGGTAAGAAGCCTGAGTCTCTCTCTGGGATCCAGAGAGACTAGATAAATATACCCAGAAAAAAGAACTAGACTGAGGAACCTGGCTTCATTTCAGGCTCTGGAGCTGAGTCTCCTGTGATCCCAATAAGGAGGAAGAATGGAGAAACTCCTGACCGTGTCTTTGGTGATTCTGTGGCTTCAACTGGCCAGTGAGTTGGGGCTCTTGGCGATGGGAAGAGGGTGACCAAAGTTCCGAGCCCACAAGACAGAGGCGCAAAATCTTCTTGTTAATTGGGAAATGTACCCCCAAATTATGGAAGGAAATGCAAACACTAGAGAGTGAAAATGCAGTGACTCACTCCTGGCCTCTGGCCTTGTGTTTCTGCCTAGGGGTGAATAGCCAGCAAGGAGAAGAGAATCTTCAGGCCCTGAGCATCCAGGAGGGTGAAAATGCCACCATGAACTGCAGTTATAAAACTGCTATAGACACCTTACATTGGTACAGACAGGATTCAAGGAGAGGCTTTGCCCACCTGATTTTGATACGTTCAAATGAGAGAGAGAAGCGTAGTGGAAGACTGCGAGTCACGTTTGACAACTCCATCAAAGGCAGTTCCCTGTCCATCACGGCTTCCCAGGCTGCAGACACTGCTATTTACCTCTGTGCTACGGATACACAGTGCTCACCAGGCAACTGCAGCCCCAACGCAAACCCTGCCAGAGCTGTCTCTTAGAAGCCGCAACAGTGTGTAGAGTTGGTGGTTATGTCTTCCCACAAAGGAGAGTCTACAAACAGCTGGCAACAGGAAAGGGAGGCCTGTCAAATTCCTGATGTTTTTGGCAGCATGTTAGACTAGGGTAAAGGCCATGAGATTTAGAACGGGAAACTGAAATACCAGCTTCAGCTCTGCCCATCCTGGCTCTGTGTCCTTAAGCACACCATCGGTGTAGCAGCCTTCAGTTTCCTCACTTTAAACAAAGGATTTGGACTGATGAGCCTAAAGACCTTTCAAGCTCTAATTTTACCAGGTCACTTGTGGAGGATGAGGAAGGACTTGTCAGTATTAGAAGGTCTCATCTGTTATATGTACAGCCTCCTCAAGACTTAGGTGGGGCTTTGAGATGCATGAGAGGATTTTTGCATTTCTCTAATTCCAACAGTAGATTCATCAGACATTAGAGTTAAAAAGGATCTTAGGACTCTTTCAACCAAACTTTTCATTTTAAAGCTGAGCAGTGAAAACGTTGTATAATAATAGATACAAAGATCTGAATCTTTGGAGTAGTAGAGACAAAGATCTGAATCTGATTCTCCCATTTATTAGTTGTGTGATTTCCAAGCTTCAATTTCTCCATTAAGGAGATGGGAATTTATCAGAGAGTCATAATCTTTCCCCATACAAGTGAGAGATGTTCTCAGCTACCAGGTCCTAAAATGTTGTGTTTTGAAAGTGGATACTTCTATTATCACATATATAACAGTTTTCCATCCATTTTATTCTTGCTTCTGGTAAGAATAGTTTTTTTGATACATTTTTGATGCTACTGAAAATGTGTTTGTGGAGAAAGCGCATTTGTACTTATGTGATGCTTGGTGGAAAAGGTGGGGGAGGGCAGGCGAAAGGTTGGTAGGACTGTGGATCCCACATTCCAGAGCTTCAACCACCAACATCACCTATGTCAGAATCACCTACAGCACCTTGAAGATCTGGGTTATTAGGCACTTACTCAGTCAGACTCTGATGCACTGATGCACTGTATTTTTTTTTTTTTTTTTTTGCGGTATTCGGGCCTCTCACTGTTCTGGCCTCTCCCGTTGCGGAGCACAGGCTCCGGACGCGCAGGCTCAGAGGCCATGGCTCACGGGCCCAGCCGCTCCGCGGCATGTGGGATCTTCCCAGAACGGGGCACAAACCCGTGTCCCCTGCATCGGCAGGCGGACTCTCAACCACTGCGCCACCAGGGAAGCCCGATGCATTGTATTTTTAATGAACATCTTCTATATCAGTTAGAGACTGGGTCAGCTTCAACTTACAAAAACTTCAAATAATAATGGTTTTAACAAGGTGGAGTTTACTTTTCTCTCATGTAAAGAAGTGCTGTCATATGTATCATATGGAGTCCAGGGCTGGTATACTACCTTAATCATGTTATAAAAAATCAAGGGGCTTCCTTCTAGCTCTCTGTCTCTTGTCCTTAAAGTGTCACTTTTGTTTATATACT